CAGTGTGTGTGTGTGTGTGTGTGTGTGTGCATGCATGTGCACATTTGTAAGAAGTTTCTCTGGGTTAGGGAGGAATTTTCACTGACACTACTGTCGTGAGTGATCAGAGAGGTTGAGCTTTTTCCTGACATCACACAGCAAGTCTGTCAGAGCATCACTCCTTCCGCTCTTTGGGGCCTACTGCATAGAACAGAGGAACTCTAGGGAGGAAGACATACAAGCCTTGCTTTTGGAGGCCCTGGTCCAAGAGGAGAAGCAGGACCCAGCCAGAGAGTACGACAGCCCTTGTGTCGGGGGAAGGGAAGGGGTGGGGGTTGGGTTAGAGCTTTTGTCTGTTGTACCCAGTGCCTGAAGCTGAGTGTGCAGGACTTGGAGTGGTGGCAGGTGCTGCCCCTTGCCCATCCCACTCTGTGCCTGGTGGCCCTGGGCTGGAGGGCCTGGGCTTCGTGGCTCTGCCCTTCTCAGCTCCTGGCTCCTCTTGTGATAGTCTTTCTGGCTGCTGTTATATAATCTCTCTCCAGCAGGGCTTTTTTTTTTTTTTTTTTTTATCTTTTCTGGGAGGTGTGATGCGAAGGAGAAGGTGGAGGGCATCTCCCCAGGTTGGGGGCTGGAGGAGCAGTAGCAAGGCATCCGGGCTGCCCTGGCTCTTGGGGTCCTGGGGAGACGAGGCCATTGCTGCCTCACTCTTCTGATCTGCCCCGGGAGGGAGCCTCTGCTGTGAGCCTCTGCATGAGGGAGCCTCATGCCCCCAGAGAGGCCTGGGCCTCTGCCCACCCTGTCAACCTCCTCTTCCTGGCAGCTGGGCCCCCCTGCCCTCCCTGGCTGGCCCTGGGTCTGCAATTCTAGTGCTTGCCTTGGCCTGGTGTGGGCCCCAGGAGGACACTACCACCCACCTATGAGCCTCTCTTGGCAGAAGGGGGTCCGGGGAACAGACAATGGGCCCAGCATGTCCTGGCTGCATTTGAGTTGACTGCTGCCACTCAGCCCTGCAGTCCGGACAGTGGAGGCCTTCATGGAGGAGAGGTGTTGGAGGCAGGCAGTGCAGGATGGCCTGCTGGGCACAGTTGCAGTTGCTTCGCACCCGGATCTGGACGTGATGTGGGATCCCATGTGGCCCTGGAGTCTGCATCAGGGTCACACCTGGGCCTCTGCACCGTGGGTCTCCCTACCCCGGGACCTGCCGGTGGGAGGCATTGCCGCCCTTTTCACGGGGAAGGAGGAAGAAGATGGTGGTGGGGCTAGCACAGCCTCAGCATCACTGTAATTGCTGGTGGCTTTTATGAGCCTGTCGTGGGGCCGGCTCCTTCTGTCCCAGTTTGGGGCTTACTCATGGGGGAGAGGTAGTGTTAGATGCCGAGAGCTCTGTTCTAGAGGCCAGACAGCTGGCTGTGTTGTGGTCCATGCTGCCTTGTCTGTCCACAGTGACAGCAGGCTGGATGGAGCTCAGACTTGAGGGAGAACTCCCCAGTGCAGCTCCTCAGGAGACTGAGGCAGGACTGTAACTTTGAGGCCAGCCTGGGCAACATAGTGAGACCCTGTCTCAGATAAATAAGCAAATAAGTAAATAAATGAATAGATGATGTAGCACAATGGTAGAGTACTTGTGAAACATGCGCAGATCCCTGGGTTCAATCTCTGGTGGGGGTGGGGGTGGGGCTTTACCATTAGAGCTAGGTTAGGAAGAGGAGGGTGGCTCCCAACAAAAGGAGGGATCCCAAAGCACTTTCTTCTCCAGTGCTCTGCGGAGAGGCCTTGACCTTCAGCCTGCTAGCGCTGCTGCTGCTTGGCTCCTGGAGTATTTATTTTCCCTCCTCTCCCCTGCTTAGCTCGGACAGCTCTGTGAGGTGTGTGTCCTGGAGCAGGGCAGGCTGGGTGGGGGTCATGCAGACTGGCAGGCCCAGGTGCACCTGGCAGGCAGACCCACAGTGTTCAGTGGCATGCACGCATGAAGGTGTGGGGTGCATACTTGGGTGTGTAGACACCCCCAGAACAGCTGCCACCCTGTGGGGGGTGGGGATGAGCAAATGGCAAAGATGATTAAAGGATTGGAGAGTGAGGATGGAGGCGAAGGGTACAGTCAGAGTTCCAAGGCAGGGCATGGGCTGGAGCAGGAGGGACTGAGGTTAGACCGCAGATGTGCAGGCAGGGCCCTGTCTGCAAAGTGAAGAGCGTGGCTGGGAGTCTGGGAGCCCTGGCTGGTGTCCGTCCCTCCCACCCCTCGCTCTGGGGTCCCCCCACATTGGCCTGTGTCCTTGGGTAAGTCACCCCCGGGCCTCAGCTTTCCAGGTGTCCCCAAGTCTCACCTTTCGGTGATCTGAGCGCCTGGTTGGGTGGTTTTTCTCATCTCTGCTGCCCTCTTTCTCACCCTGATGAGTGAGGCCAGTCTGAGGGGCAGGGCTGTCTTTGCACTCTCAGGCATCTGGTGCAGACCCTCAGCCTAGGTGATCCAGCTGAGCCCCCCACGCCTGACTTTTTCCTTTGCCAGGGCCCTGGGGGGCCGATCCAGGCATCTGGAGGGCACTAGCGGCTGGGGGGATGTGTTCAGCCTGCACAGACCTTGGTGCCTGCTGTCTGGCATCCTCCTTTCTGCCTAGGCTGGGAGGGAGGGACTCATCCCAGGCTCTGGCCTGCGGCTGGCCACACCCAGGCGGGACCATATTTACTCATTTAAACATGCCCTCCCAGGAGGCTCTGCGCTCAGGCCTGGTCACTGGCCTTGGCTTGGTGCCCTGGCCGGGTGCTCTGGACCGCTCTCCAGGAGGTGGGCAGACAGGCGAGTGCCAGGCAAGGAGCCTTTCCTGCTCGCTGGTCAGAGGAGCCTTCCCCTCAGGCTAGATCCTGCTGGCCCAGTTCTCCAGGGTACACAGCAGACAAGACCAAGAACTCTGGAGTTCCGTGGGGCTGGAGGTGGGAAGCCCAGTTTGTGTGCCACACTGTGATGGGTGCCACGACCTGTGACATGGTTTGTCTGTGCAACTAATTTTTTTTTTTTTGTAATTGGAAAAACTAAATGTCAGATTTAAATGATGTATTTAGGCTTTCCCAGTTTGAGGGGTTGAGTTTTTATTTTAATTTAAAAAAAATTTTTTTTTTTTTTTTTTTTTGGTACTGGGGATCGAACTCACGTCCTTGCTCTTGCAATGCAGGCGGCGGAACCACTGAGCCAAATCCCTGGCCCAAGTTTTTATTTCTTAATTAAAAATTTATTATTCTTGTTATTGTTGGAAGGCCTGGCCTTTGAACTCTGTGTGGCACGGGCTGCCCTCAAATGCCCCAACCCTCTTGTCTCAGCTTCCCAGGTGTGGGGATTACAGGTATGTGCCACCCCCACCCCCAAGGATTTGATTTGGTTTTGTTGTTTTGGGGACAGTGGGGATTGAACCCAGGGTGTGTACCTGCTAGGCAAATGTTCTACCACTGAGCCTTTTGTCTGAGGTTAGAGGAAGGACCCT